CAAGGTGGGAAAAGTTTTCGGGAATACATCAATTCGGTAGATGCTACTGAGATCCACACCTTCTTCCTAGACATAAGGTTTACCTCGCTAGCAGATACCACTGCTGTCTCCACAGCTTTTATGATATCATTCCAGCCTGCCTCCGGATGGGAATCGCCTACATCGTCGCCTAACTGCTTATGGAGAGAGAAAGACATAAAGAAAATGAGCTAAATTGGACAGAACTGGAAAGGGAAGCCCAGGACAGAGTTGGTTGGAGAAAACTGGTCGGCGACCCAGGCTACATTGTGGTAACAGGCGTAAGTAAGTAAGTAAGTAAGTAAGTAAGTATAAGCACCAATAGAATTATCCCAGTAGTTTTTCACAGATCTGCTGTTTTCATTCTCACTTTTCAAGTAATTCTGAAATTTGCCAATGATATGAAATGAGAGAGCATATGATGATACGTCAACCCGTCTATCCTGTGCGGAGTTGGAGAAAGGGAAGTCAGTGTGACAAACGAGTCACGAAAGATCATTTAACATATTCCGGAAAGGGAAGTTAAACGGTTTCGAAAAATTACAAGTACACATTCGACGCAACCTCGTTGGAGTCTAATCAAGACTGTCGAAGCTAAAGAATCAGCATTCTGCACGTGAAAAAAGACACATTATGATGAATATCGAGCTAATTCGGTAACCTAAGGCTTTCATACATCCATCAAATGAGGTTCCATGTTTTGCCAAAACTAGATTTCTCGATCCAACCAGTATTTCCTCCAACCTTAAATGACTGCATTTCACATGCAAACAGGTCAGTCAGTCAGTCAGTCAGATGCAACGTAGAACTTTGTACATAAGTACATCAGTTCATGTTGCCATACCACATCAGCACAGAGAAGTAATCGTCAATTCAAATCCAATAGTAGAAGAGGTAGTAAGGGAATTAGAAATAATCGGAGAGGTTAGGATTAGAAGATACTATTCAAGAAGTATGATTCAGTGAGATAAGTTTAGAGAGTCGAAACTAGAGGAGTTGATGAGTCCAGAAGATTAGGATTTGAGAGAACACAGAGAATAAATGCACCGGCGCCATTGCGAACGATTTTGAGCCATGTCATTCAAGGTCTCTAACCATCGATTATTATCATCTCGCGGACCCCAACCAGGTAGTCGACAATTACCAACATGGCTCAGTCCACTAGTCAATGACTTCATGGATTTCTGCCATGTTTTCGTTTGGCCGCCCCTAACTTTCTTCCAACCTATTCCTACACTACAAAACAAGGCTCGACGAGGCAGCCGGTGGTTCGGCATACGCAACACATGTCCCAACCACCTCAACTGGTGAAGTTTCAATACTTCATCGATTGATCTGCCATTCTTACCTAGCACCCGATTCCTAATAACAGCGTTGCTCACTCGGGTGTCCCACGATATACGAGCAATGCTTCGAAGACACCTATGATCGAAAACCATTAACCTACGAATATCTTCTACTCTCACTGGCCATGTTTCACAGCCATAAAGTAAGACGGAGCGAACTACTGCGCAGTACACTCGTCCTTTAGTCAGCAAACGGATATCTCGCCTACGCCATAAGTGACGCAGGTTGGCAAAAGCCAATCGAGCCTTCTGTATCCGTGCTGAGATTTCGTCAGTCACCAGGCCATCGGCACTGATGAGACTCCCCAGATAAGTGAAGCGGTCTACACGTTCGACTACTTCACTCCCTATCACTAGTTCAGGTGCCGATGCAACCCAGTCTTGAATCAACATTTTGCATTTCGAGGGGGAAAACCGCATCCCGAACATGCTTGCATTGTTGCTTAGGGTAGTCAGAAGACTCTGCATTTTGTCAGCGTCTTCACCAAGTAGGACAATGTCATCGGCATATTCTAAGTCAATAAGCGAGCCACCTGGTAGAAGGTCTACTCCTGAAAATTCAGACGAGGATAATGTTATGTCTAGGAGCATGTCTATGATAAAATTAAACAAGAATGGAGAAAGTGGACATCCCTGACGGACACCACTTGATGTAGAGAATTCCTGTGACAGTTCGCCATAAGCTCTCACTCGACCAGTGGTGTTCGAGTAAAGAGCTTGTATGAGTTTAATGTACTTCTGTGGTACACCTTTCAATGACAGACACTCCCACAGAACCTCACGATCCACAGAGTCAAATGCCGCCTTAATGTCTAGGAAAACAACTACTGTAGGACGCCTAAATGTGTGTCTATGTTCCAGGACCTGTCTGAGCGTGAAAATGTGGTCTATACAACCACGTCCAGGTCGAAAACCAGCCTGGTTTTCTCGAGTCTGCTCTTCACGAGCTTTCGTTAAGCGTCGAAGTATTATTGAGGCCAGTATTTTAGATACTATATTAGTTAGACTTATTCCCCTGTGATTGTCACAAGAAGACTTTTGTCCTTTCTTATAGATTGGGACAATCAAGGATTGAGACCAGTCGGATGGGATTACGTCCAGTTCCCAGATTCTACCTAAGATCTCAGTCAACCTAGCTGCTAAAACTGGACCACCATCCTTAAATATCTCAGGGGTCAGTCTATCAGGACCTGCAGCTCGTCCTCGTTTCAGATTTCCTAACGCTTTCTCAACGTCATTAAGACTAGGGGGACTTACGTCGATTTGCCATTCAGGATGACTGGAGATCGTGGGCAACCGAAGAGTGGCTGAAGGCCAGTTGAACTGATCCCTAAAGTGTTCTGCCCATCGATCCAGTCTCCTGGATTGAGAATGGATAATAAGACCATCCTTTTCCGAGATAGTCTCACTCACATTCGGGTTCTTAATACCAGTTTCCTTGATAAGTCGGAAAAGTTGTCTAGTGTTGCCGATCGCCGCTGCCTTTTCTATCGCTTTTGCTTTTGCCACCCACCACTGTTCGCGGTCGTTACGCAGACTTTTTATAAGTCTGCGCCTAAGCTGACTACGCTCTTCATCATGCTCAGAGTCAGGTGGGATGCGTTTTCGAGCATCCATCAGTTCGGTGGATGCGACTGAAATCCACGGCTTCATCCTAGCCTCATGGTTTACCTTACTAGCAGATATCACTGCTGTTTCCACAGCTTTTTTGATATCATACCAACCTGTTTCTGGATGGGAATCGCTTGCATGGTTGCTTAACTCTCTTTCTAGTTGCTCCTGAAATATTTTCTTGGTTTGATTATCATTAAGTAAAACCCTAAGAGGCTTCCTTACGGTGTCTTTCCTACGTCCAGTAAGCCTTAAACAGATACGAGCTCGCACTAGAGCATGATCTGAATCCAAACATGTGCTCCAGAACGAGCGACAGTCTTCTATCGAACCCCTCCATCGGTGGCTGATGGCGATGTGATCTAGTTGAGTCCAACGTTGAGATGACTTTGGAGGTCGCCAGGTCAACAGATGCTTTTCCTTATGCCTAAAGTTGGTGTTCGCTAAGAATAGGCGGTTATCTGAGCATAGTTGCAACAGACGGTCGCCATTGTCTGTTCTCTCAGTCGCTACACCATAACATCCACCAAGATGTCTTTCCTTTTCACCTAGTCTACCTACTTGAGCATTAAAGTCACCAGCCATTATAACTATATCAGAGCGCTTAACTTTTTGGAGGAGGTCCGAAAGCTTTCTGTAAAACTCATCTTTAACCTCGTCTGCACTGCAGTCAGTGGGGGCATAGGCAGATATGACGAAGAGGCAACGGCGAGTGTCCCTATCCTTACGAGTCCTTACTGTCCCGTTTAGTCGGACAGCGCACAAACGACTATCTATTGGGATCCAGTCAAGGAGAGATAATTCTGCCCTAGGACTCAACGCTATGCCTACGCCAGCAAGACCCCTGGAAGCAGCATCAGGGCTACCGGATACACGAAGAGTAAATCGAGCTGCTTCTTTATTTTGACAAGGTGAAATCAGGTTAATAATTTTACTAGGATCCTGTATGCGCGTTTCCGAGACGCAGCATACATCGATGGCACGAGATTCTAAAGTCCTAGCTAATGATGCCTGTTGCCCTATTTGACACAATGTCCGTACATTAAAAGCTCCAATATGTAGTCTAGAACGGGGTTTCAAGAGACCAGGAACGACGTTTCGTGATCTCGCTTCGTCTGCATTAGCGGTGCAGTGAGAAAAGGGAGTGTGAGTACAGTTAGTCGTAGAGATAAGAGAGACATTAGGGGGTGTAGGAAGGATTTGATTTTGAACAATTTGGCCTCGCATGCTGGTACGGGTATGAGGGCGGTTGTCACTTCCCGGCTGCCCACACCGTGGAAGGTTGTTTCTTGAGGGACCTGAAAAGGAAGATGGATTAGTGTTGGTGCGTGACCGCAGAGTCCAAGGGACAACTGCTTCAGGCCGGTCACGCACGGCCTTTTTATGTGAGGTATTTAGAGGATTAGCTCCGTTCTTAAAGGCCCAGTGGGCACCCTTACCCAGGGAGACGGAAATCCGTGAGTTAGGGGAGGTGTGACATTTTTAGGGCCGACCTTTTCTAACCCTTCCTTCCTTGTGAGAAGGCAGCATCGCTGCAGATGCTGGTTGTCCGAGGGAAACACCTTACTGCTGTCACACCCCTCTGCAGTCAGCAGTACGACTTCGCCCTCAGACCTTGGGTAGCTGCTTTTAGTCACATCGTTCTCCAATCGACCTGCCTGGCATGGTAGAACCTTGAGGAACATATGTTCCAGCCAGTATAGCTCGGTTGGGTCATCACGATAGGCAAGCCCGACCACCACGTCAAGGTAGCAGCTTCGGTCGGGCATGCAAACAGGTAACCAATAATCACTAGCAATGACAACACTGAAATGCAAACTGTCACAAACACACCATCCACATCTCAGCAACAATACACCGACCTATGTCACACATCAAAATTATCTACACCGAAACCCCTACGAGATACATTCTCATTTACACATATTTCACATCAAATCCTCATCTGATACATGACAAACAACATTAAAACAACTCCTCGTCTAATCCAACCAGTTACATAGACTCATGAAAACGTTGTAACAGCATGAAACAAGTAAGCAAACTTTATTTAATTTGATAATTAAAACACACATGTAAGCAAAATTTACGTTATCAAAATTGTCAGCATCATTATCATCGGACACCAAGTCCGTCTTATTTTACTTCTAGTGAGTTATTGCATGCTGCTTCGCCAATGGCGCCTCCAGTACCAATGTATTGCCAACTACCTGGGCAGTAACAGATAACGGGTCCACTGTCTCCGGAATCGCATACGACTGACTGAACTCCGCAAATGAACTCGACTTCCCAGAATGACCAACCTTCTGTTTATGATGACGTCCACTAACTACAACACGATTCGAATCAACATTCACACACAAGTCCTCAGGCTTGTACACAGGGTCCACTGGAACCTCAACATGCAATCGTTTGCCACCTGAACCATCATCCACAAACGACAGCCCGTGAGTACCTGAAACAAACGCCAACAAATACAAATGTTACGAAGATTCAAAACACACACACGAGCAAAACCAACACACCTACCACAACACCACCACCACCACCATATACTTACATATATACATATATACACAAACATATGCATATACTTCACCACCATTCACAACTTCTCTCACCTTTCACAGCAAGAGCTTGAGATGCAGGAACTGCCTTAATCTGATGGTCCGATTTCGGCCGAACACCCACCTGGCCAGACTCGTTCAGCGTCAGTGACTGGTGCTGATCAACCTTCACTGGAGCCTCCAACATCAAAACACCGTCCTGAAACAGACAACCAGAACACGAAAACACCAACAGAACAGGATGAAACATAATGTCCAACCGTTCTAACATCAATCAAAGCAAAAACAACTACAAATACTACACCCACTGAACAAACTACCAACAAACACAACCGTCAACTCAACAACTTACATCTGTCAGACGACATTTCAACTGACTATCTTCAATGCTTTTCGGCAGCTGCACCATACGACAGAACTCTCGACTACACTTCCCACCGTCAGTCTTTGTCTCCTTCTTTGCATGCACCGTCACACGGTTGTCACTCGACGTCACATGGATGTCCTCAGGATTGAAACCTTGTGCATCGAATCGCACCTTGAAATGTACCTACACAATAAACGATAAATAACAAACACAAAACACTCGTCAATTCACATCCACACCAACTACTGCACAACCATTAAGCACAACCCACTTGCTTGTCAACAACCACTCACCTTGCCATCCTCACCTACTTCATAGGCGTCCTTCAAGAAGTCACTCACTGAACCAGTCGACGGCATATCCAAGGAGCCCATCCTGTCTCGCATATCCTGGATTTGAAGATCCATCTGATTCATTAGAGCAAATGGATTTTGAAAAATTCCATCAGCGAAATGGTCAACCGGCTAAAACATGAAAATATTCATGATGTTAGCAAGTGTCGGTACAATATGCAAAATATTCGTTTTACTAAGCTCCAATCTGTACATGTTGTACTAAGCAAACGCTGTCAGTTCACAATATAATTATTATCTTCGAATTGCAAACCAAAATACTTACCAACAGCGCAAACATTCCTCGTCTCAAACGTCGAATGTTTTCCTCCCATCTTCTCCACGAGGAATCAACCCAGTGATCCACTGAGCTCGGCCAATCTTCCGTGTACGGTGCGACCCAGTTTCCACGACTGATACCGCCACCGTGTTCCAAACTATTTAACAGGTCACGTCTCTGTCTCTCAAATGACCGCTGCTCACGATTCACAGGAATACTAACTGCGTGATGTTGCTGGCTTTTAGACATGGCTTGCAAACAATAAATCCCAATAACCGAACAATAGAGTGGACTAATCGATAAACTATCTAACCCGTTTATATAGCAGAGGGATAGAGAGTGCGATAGTAAGACCCAGACAGCAACGACCAATCAAAATGTTAGAATGGTTAAAGTCAAATCTGATTCGTGGTTGAAGGTCATTTCTTAAGCGTTCTAGATTTCTCTCGAACTGTCTAGCCAACGAAGTTACATGTCTGTCCATACACTTCTGCAAACTAGACTCTACCAGAATTCTGTGGATCATTCTCGAATTCTAATGGATTCCTGGTGATCAATTTTCCTCAAACGACCCAAGTTGCTTGCTTTCGGCCAGTGAGGTGTGTTGAACAGATAAGAATCTATTTGCTATTCAGTTGATCGCTCATGCAACAAGAGGGACATTAATGATTGGACAGACTTCTTGTTGAACGATAATTTTCAGTGAAACCCTCTATACTAAATTATTCGCCATAGATCAAAACCAACCATTAATGATGTTGTACTTGGTCATTTTATTTCTACATACATCCATAGTTATTTGGTTAGCATTTTAGAAGCACTCAAATTGATTAGGTGCATTTCAACAAGATCAATTGTATAACAAACCTACTTCCTATATATGTGTTCAACACACCTTATTGGTTGAAAGCAGGCAACATGGGTCGTTTGACAAAAATCGAACCATGCAAAACAATCAGAATCTTAAAAATTCATGATACACACTACATGTATTCTAGCAAGAATTCATTTTAAACTGCACTTACTTACTTCTGGTTAGCGTTCTTTTGGCAAGTTAGATTTCGACGGAATGGGGTCGCCAACCCCATGGCCAACCCTCCTCCTTTACTCGGGCTTGGGACCGGCAGTAGCCCCGAAGGTTCTACTGGCGGAGTTAAACTGCACTTAACTGAGGGTATCTTTGGAATATTTGTCCCACCAGTTTATCATACAATTAATTAATCTAGAATCCGGGAGTTGATTGTTAGAATCAACGTTCTTCCTTATATGTAACGCTTTTTCGTCTAAATTTGTGAAGGATGTGTGATACTCGACCCATTTATTGATTCTATTCAAGTTTATTTATTTATTTATTCGCATTTTCTACGTCCCTTTGTTTATATGCCCTGTAACGCTTTCGACAATCGAACAACTTCTCGATTGGAAGTATGTAGTGCTTGTCTCCAAATGATGTAAGTCCTCCGACTGTGAATGAGCTTGCAAAGGCTATAGGCACTCTAAAGAGACAGAAAGCAGCTGGCCATGATAGATTAACTGTTGAGATTTTTGAGGATGGTGACCAAGTTTGAGCAGTTAGATTGACTGAGATCTTACGTAGAATATGGGAAGCGGACGTGATCCCATCTAAGATATTAGCTTCAATAATACTTCGACGCCTAACTAGAGCTCATGAAGAGAAGACTCGAGAAAACCAAGATGGTTTCAGATCTGCACATATTTGTATAGACCAAATATTCACAATTCTTCAGGCCCTAGGACACACATACACATTCAGACACCCGACAATAGTTGTAATTCTCGACCTTAAGGTGTCGTTTGACTCTGTCAACCGTGAGGTTCTATGGCAGCGTATTTCATTGAAAGGAATGCCAGAGAAATACATTAACCTTATACAGGCACTCTACTTTAACACTACTATTAGAGTGAGAGCTTCTGGTGAACTGTCATCGGAATTGTTTACTTCAAGTGGTGTTTGCCAAGGCTGTTCACTCTCTCTATTTATGTTTAACTTCGTCATTGACGTGCTTTCAGAGATGAAGCTTTCATAGTCTGACTTTTCCGGAGTTGACTTTCAATCATGAGATTCGCTGGTTGATTTAGAATATGTAGATGATATAGTTCTATTTGGTGAAGATGCTGACAAAATGTAGAGTCTTCTGACTATCTTAAGCGACAATGCACGCATGTTCAAAATGCGATTCTCGACATCGAAATGCAAAATGTTGCTTCAGAATTGGGCTACATCAGCACCTGAACTAGTGATAGAGAGTGAATTCTCAACAGTTGAGGTGGTTGGGACATGTGCTAGGTATTCCCAACCACCGACTGCTTCAACGAGCAACGTTGTTTGATGTAGGGGTAAGCTGGAAGAAAGCTAAGTGCAGCCAAACATAAACATGGCACAAATCCACGAAGTCACTGACAACTGGACTGAGCCATCTTAGTAGGTGTACAATACCACGCTGCGGTCCGCGAGACAACAGTAACCGATGGTTAGAGACTTCGAATGACATGGCTCACAATCGTTTACAATGGCGCAGATGCATTCATTTTTTGTCTTCGATCAAATTCGAATCTTCCGAATTCCTCATCACCTTTATCTTTCCACTTTAAATTTATTTCATTGGATTATACTTTTTAATCTTTGTATAAATGTGTCGAGCCCACATGGCTTGTCGTAGCATTTGGACAAAACAACTAATCTATTCTTCTCCAGTCATTATTCACACATCTTTCAATATTGTCGCTTATTCGCTCATAACCTTAGTTGTTTTTGTTTGGGTGCGTATATATATTGCTTATTTCGCTTATTACATGTATAGTTAATTTATTCCTGACCATAAACACTAATTCATGCTTGACCGAATTGAGTTGGCTCACTCGCCTTCTCCATTTGGCTTCGCTTTGTTTGTACACCTTTTATTCTCATGTCTAACTACATGAACGATTGTCTGAAATAAACTCATCAAAATTAATCCGTATTTGGCTTCTTATTACCGCTGTCGCACAAACGACGTTTACCTAAGCATGAAATTGAAGGAACGATTCATTTCATAGGTTATTCAGTCGTTCGTCCGAATCGGAGTCAGATCGCGAGCCACTAAAACTTCTCCAATCACATCTTCAATCCCTAATCTTTCCGATTACCGTTAATACTGCTTCTACCTCTATCACTATAGGATTTGAATCGACATTTCAATGTCTCTGTTCTAATATGATATGGCAGTTTGAACTGATATATGTACGTACCAAGTTTACGTTGTTGCTGACTGAATGAAACTACTCCATCAATCGACTGGCCAATTTTAATTAATGCCTTATCCTTAACCCTATCATTGCTTATTCGGTGTTTCCAGAATCCAGGAACAACGCTTATCAGACACTTATGGACGATTACTAGTGACCTAGGAATATACTATATTTTTAAAGGCTATGGTTTCTTTATCTTGAATCCTACTCAGGATATCAATAGAGATCCGTTATTCCATAGAAAATCAGGCTGATTTCAATCAGACCATTATCATAAACGAAATGACGGTTGGTAATGTATTCTAACAATGTTCATTTGTTGCACTTTCACCCGATCGATCAACTTTCATCTCTTCTCTTCACTGTACAAAGTAGACTGATTAAACTAATGAGTATCGTGTATTCTGTACCATTTTTTACTTGACTTGTTCCGATTCAAAAAAACAGATGGACGCAGGAAGTTCGACATCAGAAAGACGATAGATATATGCAATCGATTCATGAATTCTGTAAGTGAATTTGATAGTTGTGCTCAAATAGAGCAATACCATATTACTAATCTACATTTTCACAACACATTCTAACCAAGTTATGTGTCCGGTGTGGTAATCTGATTGGTACCATTGCATTTAAACACATGCGTCCACTAGACAATCATTCCGCATCAATACACTGAAGCAACATATTCTACCCCTATTTTAAAGTAATCTGGTAACCCTTCCCACAATCCATGTTCTATAGTCTGTTGTTATAACTTGATAATAGTTTTGAAGAAATAATTAATGCAAAATTATCACAAAATTCAATCTCATTTCTTCATTTTAGCCAAATGAAAAATTGTCTCCTTCCTACTGCATCTTTCAATAATCTTTTACATTTACATGACTTTGATAAAACAGAATATTTCGAATAACGTGAAGTTGGGATGTAGATGAAAGAAAGGTGACCAGAAACGAACGGTTAGTTAACTAAATATGGTTACATGGAGAGAAGTGAATGTCTCGAACGGAAGAATGTTCAAGTATGATGAATGATAACAGGATAAATATAAAGAGAATCAAAATGAATCTAGACTTTACACCAATACATAAGTGATAGCCATCCTGACAACGCTTCAATTAATTCTGTAAATATCCATCAGATTTCATTCAATTTTGTATGTTGAAATTCATTTTTCTCAGTTGACAAAAATTCAGTTATCAGTGACTGCAATATAATTGTATTTTCTCATCCTTATACCTCAGGAAGAAAATATTCAAACTTTGTTAGATATTACCTACAGAGTACTCATTGAGATATAAACATAGTATAAGCACGGACAACTCCGCCTGTAGACCCTTCGAAGCTACTGCCGGTTCCAAGCCAGGACAGTTGGGCGTGGGATTGGCGACCACATCCCACCGAAAAAACTAACTCGCTGAAAAAACGCAAACCGGAAAAAAATAAATCAAACCATTTTAACTCTACCCTGGGAGTTGAAAGAAGAATTATGACGTCGCGTGATGAAAGCCGAGTTCCCTCGGAAGTCACGGGGCCGATGCCTCTTCTGACAACCAAAGCAACCATTTTTTAGGTACATGGAACGTTCGTACATTGTGGGAGACTGGAAGACTATTTCAATTTGAGGCAGAAATGAAAAGATACAACCTCGAGGTGCTCGGCATCAGTGAAACACATTGGACACAGGTAGGACAACTGAGACTAGCTTCAGCGAAACTGCTGTTATACTCTGGTCATGAAGAGGAAAATGCTTCACATACACAAAGAGTTGCACTGATGATGTCCAAGCATGCACGAAAGGCACTAATAGGATGGGAATCCCATGTACCAAGGATCATCAAAGCATCCTTCAAAACAAAGAAAGAGGACATTACAATGAACCTCATCCAATGCTATGCCCCTAACAATGACTACAATGACAACGTTAAAGATCAATTCCACGAAAGGCTGCAGTCAGTCGTCGAGAAATGCTCACCAAAGGATTTGACGATTCTGATAGTAGACCTAAATCCCAAGGTTGGAATGGACAACACTGGACATGAAGACATCATGGGACGACATGGACTGGTAGAAAGGAACGAAAAGGGTGAGAGATTTGCAAACCTATGCGCCTTCAATAAACTGGTCATCGGTGGCACAATATTCTTTCACAAACGCATGCACGAGGCTACATGGATTTCGCCAAATCTTACTACTCAGAACCAAATCGACCATATCTGTATGAACAAAACGTTCAGAAGAACCATGGAGGATGTGAAAATCAAGAGAGGAGCTGATATAGCCTCAGGTCATCACTTGCTGGTCGCCAAAATTAAACTGAAACCCAAGAAACACTGAACAACGGGGTAGACAACAGCACAGAAGTTTAATACGGTCTTTCCTCGGGATACTGTAAAACTCAACTAATTCAAGATAGCCCTCACCAATAAGTTCCAGTCCTTGCACGATATACTCAATGGAGAGGAAACAACCATGGAGAACGGTCGGAAAGGGATCAAGGGGGCAATCACTTGAACATGTCAGGAGGTTCTAGGCCACAGGAAGTACCACCAAAAGGAATGATCGATCTCTGTCGGTACTCTTGCAAATATTGAAGAAAGGAGGAACAAGAAGGCAGCAATCAATGTCAGCCGAACAAGAGCAGAGAAAGCTACCGCACAAGCTGCATACACAAAATCAAACATGGAAGTGAAGAAGAGCATCGACGGAATTTTTATGATGGATTAGACTGCAAGATCTTGCACGAAGGACAGGACCGGTGTCAGGTAAGGTTGCTTACTCTCACCCTTTCTCTTTCTCCTGCTCATCGACTGGATTATGAAGACGTTGACATCTGAAGGGAAACACGGTATCCAGTGGACAGCTAGGACGTAGCTGGACGATCTGGACTTCGTAGATGACCTGGCTCTTCTATCGCACAAGCAACAACAAATGCAAGAGAAGACGACCAGTGTAGTAGCAGCCTCTGCAGCAGTAGGTCTCAACAACATAAAGGAAAAAGCGAAATTCTCCGATGCAACACAACATGCACCAACTAAATCACTCTTGATGGAGATGCCTTGGAGGACGTTAACACCTTTACATATCTTCGCAGCATCATCGACAATCAAGGTGGATCGGATGCAGATGTGAGGGCGCGGATTGGCAAAGCAAGGGCTGCATTTCTACAATTGAAAAATAACTGGAACTCCAAACAACTTTCAACCAAAACCAAAATCAGGATTTTCAATACAAATGTGAAGACAGTTCTACTGTATGGAGCGGAAACCTGGAGAACTACCAAAGCCATCATCCAGAAGATACAGGTATTCCTTATCAGTTGTCTACGCAAAATACTTCGTATTCATTGGCCGGACACCATCAGCAACAATGTACTGTGGTAGAGAACAAACCAGATTCCAGTGGAGGAGGAAATCAGGAAAAAGTGGTGGAAGTGGATAGGACACACACTACGAAAAGCACCTAACTGCGTCACAAGACAAGCCCTCACATGGAACTCTCAAGGCAAAAGGAAAAGAGAAAAGCCAAGGAACACATTACGTCGAGAAATAGAGAAAGATATGAGAGGAATGAACAAAAATTGGACAGAACTGGAATCAATCAATCAATAGCAACGTAGAACTTCGTGCGTACGTACAACAGTTCATGCTGCCATACCAAATGAGCACAGAGATGTAATTGTCAATTCAAATCCAATAGTAGTCGAAGGAGTAGGCGCATTAGCAGTTGTCGGATAGGTTAGGATTAGAAGATATTATTCTAGAAGTAGAATCTAGTGAAATAGACTTGAAAAGATAAAGTGATGAAGAATTAAAAAGTTCGGCATCTGAGAGAACATAAAGAATGATTGCACCTGCGCCATTGCAAACAGTTTTGAGCCAAGTCATTCAGGGTCTCCAACCATCGATTATTATCATCTCGTGGACCCGAGCGTGGTATTGTACACCTACTAACATGACTCAGTCCAGTTGTCAGTGACTTCATGGATTTGTCCCATGTTTTGGTTTGGCCGCCCCTAGCTTTCTCCCAACCTACTCCTACACTACAAAACAAAGCTCGACGAGGCAGTCGGTGGTTGGGCATACGCAACACATGTCCCAACCACCTCAACTGATGAAATGTCACTACTGTGTCTATTGATCTGCCATTCTTACCAAGTACTCGTTTCCTAACAACAGCATTGCTTACTCGGTTGTCTCAGGATACACGAGCAATCCTTCGAAGACACCTATGATCGAAAACCAGTAACCTACGAATATCTTCTACTCTTACTGGCCATGTTTCGCATCCATATAGGAGAACGGAGCAAACTGCTGCGCAGTACACTCGTCCTTTAGTCAGCAAACGGATATCACGCCTGCGCCATAGGTGACAGAGGTTGGCAAAAGCCAATCGAGCTTTCTTTATCCGAGCTGAGATTTCGTCAGTCACCAGGCTATCAGCGCTGATGAGACTCCCAAGATAAGTGAAGTGATCAACACGCTCGACTACTTCACTCCCTATCACCAGTTCAGGTGCCGATGCGACCCAGTCTTGAAGCAACATTTTGCTTTTCAGGAGGGGGGGAAATCGCATCCCGAACATGCTTAGGGTGGTTAGAAGACTCAGCATTTTGTCAGCGTCTTCACCTAATAGAACAATGTCATCGGTATATTCTAAGTCAGTAAGCTAGCCACCTAGTAGAAGGTTTACTCCTGAAAATTGAGACGAGGATAAGGTTATTTCTAGGAGCATGTCTATGACAAAAATGAACGAGAATGGGGAAAGTAGACATCCCTGACGGACACCACTTGATGTAGAGAATTCCGATGACAGTTCGCCATAAGCTCGACCAATAGTGTTCGGGTAGAGAGCTTGTATAAGGTTAATGTACTTCTTTGGTACACCTTTCAATGACAGACACTGCCACAGAACCTCACGATCCACTGAGTTGAATGCTGCCTTAAGGTCCAGGAAGACAACTATTGTCGGACGCCTATATGTGTGCCTGTGTTCCAGGACCTGTCGTAGTGCGAAGATGTGGTCTATACAACCACGTCCAGGTCGAAAACCAGCCTGTTTTTCTCTAGTCTGCTGTTCACAAGTTCTAATTAGGCGTCTAAGGATAACTGAGGCTAATAGTTTAGAAACTATATTAGTTAGACTAATTCCACTGTGATTGTCACAAGAAGACTTTTGTCCTTTCTTATAAATTGGGACACTCAGAGATTGAGACCAGTCAGATGGGATTACGTCCAGTTCCCAGATACAACCTATAATCTCAGTCAATCTAGCTGCTAAAACTGAACCGCCATCCTTTGATAACTCAGAGGTCAAACTATCAAGATCCGCAGTCCGCCCTCACTTTAGATTTCCTATCGCATTCTCAACTTCATGAACAGTCGGGGCACTTACGTCGATTTGCCATTCAGGATGACTGGAGATCGTGGGTAACCGCAGTGTGGCTGAAGGCCAGTTGAACTGATCCCTAAAGTGTTCTCCCCATCGACCAGTCTACTGGATTGAGAATAGATAATAAGACCATCCTTTACCGAAATAGTCTCACTCACATTAGGGTTCCCAATACCAGTTCACTTGATAAGTCTCAATAGTTACCTTGCTAGCAGATACCACTGCTGTCTCCACAGCTTTTATGATATCATTCCAGCCTGCCTCCGGATGGGAATCGCCTACATCGTCGCCTAACTGCTTATGGAGAGAGAAAGACATAAAGAAAATGAGCTAAATTGGACAGAACTGGAAAGGGAAGCCCAGGACAGAGTTGGTTGGAGAAAACTGGTCGGCGACCCAGGCTACATTGTGGTAACAGGCGTAAGTAAGTAAGTAAGTAAGTAAGTAAGTATAAGCACCAATAGAATTATCCCAGTAGTTTTTCACAGATCTGCTGTTTTCATTCTCACTTTTCAAGTAATTCTGAAATTTGCCAATGATATGAAATGAGAGAGCATATGATGATACGTCAACCCGTCTATCCTGTGCGGAGTTGGAGAAAGGGAAGTCAGTGTGACAAACGAGTCACGAAAGATCATTTAACATATTCCGGAAAGGGAAGTTAAACGGTTTCGAAAAATTACAAGTACACATTCGACGCAACCTCGTTGGAGTCTAATCAAGACTGTCGAAGCTAAAGAATCAGCATTCTGCACGTGAAAAAAGACACATTATGATGAATATCGAGCTAATTCGGTAACCTAAGGCTTTCATACATCCATCAAATGAGGTTCCATGTTTTGCCAAAACTAGATTTCTCGATCCAACCAGTATTTCCTCCAACCTTAAATGACTGCATTTCACATGCAAACAGGTAACCAATAATCACTAGCAATGACAACACTGAAATGCAAACTGTCACAAACACACCATCCACATCTCAGCAACAATACACCGACCTATGTCACACATCAAAATTATCTACACCGAAACCCCTACGAGATACATTCTCATTTACACATATTTCACATCAAATCCTCATCTGATACATGACAAACAACATTAAAACAACTCCTCGTCTAATCCAACCAGTTACATAGACTCATGAAAACGTTGTAACAGCATGAAACAAGTAAGCAAACTTTATTTAATTTGATAATTAAAACACACATGTAAGCAAAATTTACGTTATCAAAATTGTCAGCATCATTATCATCGGACACCAAGTCCGTCTTATTTTACTTCTAGTGAGTTATTGCATGCTGCTTCGCCAATGGCGCCTCCAGTACCAATGTATTGCCAACTACCTGGGCAGTAACAGATAACGGGTCCACTGTCTCCGGAATCGCATACGACTGACTGAACTCCGCAAATGAACTCGACTTCCCAGAATGACCAACCTTCTGTTTATGATGACGTCCACTAACTACAACACGATTCGAATCAACATTCACACACAAGTCCTCAGGCTTGTACACAGGGTCCACTGGAACCTCAACATGCAATCGTTTGCCACCTGAACCATCATCCACAAACGACAGCCCGTGAGTACCTGAAACAAACGCCAACAAATACAAATGTTACGAAGATTCAAAACACACACACGAGCAAAACCAACACACCTACCACAACACCACCACCACCACCATATACTTACATATATACATATATACACAAACATATGCATATACTTCACCACCATTCACAACTTCTCTCACCTTTCACAGCAAGAGCTTGAGATGCAGGAACTGCCTTAATCTGATGGTCCGATTTCGGCCGAACACCCACCTGGCCAGACTCGTTCAGCGTCAGTGACTGGTGCTGATCAACCTTCACTGGAGCCTCCAACATCAAAACACCGTCCTGAAACAGACAACCAGAACACGAAAACACCAACAGAACAGGATGAAACATAATGTCCAACCGTTCTAACATCAATCAAAGCAAAAACAACTACAAATACTACACCCACTGAACAAACTACCAACAAACACAACCGTCAACTCAACAACTTACATCTGTCAGACGACATTTCAACTGACTATCTTCAATGCTTTTCGGCAGCTGCACCATACGACAGAACTCTCGACTACACTTCCCACCGTCAGTCTTTGTCTCCTTCTTTGCATGCACCGTCACACGGTTGTCACTCGACGTCACATGGATGTCCTCAGGATTGAAACCTTGTGCATCGAATCGCACCTTGAAATGTACCTACACAATAAACGATAAATAACAAACACAAAACACTCGTCAATTCACATCCACACCAACTACTGCACAACCATTAAGCACAACCCACTTGCTTGTCAACAACCACTCACCTTGCCATCCTCACCTACTTCATAGGCGTCCTTCAAGAAGTCACTCACTGAACCAGTCGACGGCATATCCAAGGAGCCCATCCTGTCTCGCATATCCTGGATTTGAAGATCCATCTGATTCATTAGAGCAAATGGATTTTGAAAAATTCCATCAGCGAAATGGTCAACCGGCTAAAACATGAAAATATTCATGATGTTAGCAAGTGTCGGTACAATATGCAAAATATTCGTTTTACTAAGCTCCAATCTGTACATGTTGTACTAAGCAAACGCTGTCAGTTCACAATATAATTATTATCTTCGAATTGCAAACCAAAATACTTACCAACAGCGCAAACATTCCTCGTCTCAAACGTCGAATGTTTTCCTCCCATCTTCTCCACGAGGAATCAACCCAGTGATCCACTGAGCTCGGCCAATCTTCCGTGTACGGTGCGACCCAGTTTCCACGACTGATACCGCCACCGTGTTCCAAACTATTTAACAGGTCACGTCTCTGTCTCTCAAATGACCGCTGCTCACGATTCACAGGAATACTAACTGCGTGATGTTGCTGGCTTTTAGACATGGCTTGCAAACAATAAATCCCAATAACCGAACAATAGAGTGGACTAATCGATAAACTATCTAACCCGTTTATATAGCAGAGGGATAGAGAGTGCGATAGTAAGACCCAGACAGCAACGACCAATCAAAATGTTAGAATGGTTAAAGTCAAATCTGATTCGTGGTTGAAGGTCATTTCTTAAGCGTTCTAGATTTCTCTCGAACTGTCTAGCCAACGAAGTTACATGTCTGTCCATACACTTCTGCAAACTAGACTCTACCAGAATTCTGTGGATCATTCTCGAATTCTAATGGATTCCTGGTGATCAATTTTCCTCAAACGACCCAAGTTGCTTGCTTTCGGCCAGTGAGGTGTGTTGAACAGATAAGAATCTATTTGCTATTCAGTTGATCGCTCATGCAACAAGAGGGACATTAATGATTGGACAGACTTCTTGTTGAACGATAATTTTCAGTGAAACCCTCTATACTAAATTATTCGCCATAGATCAAAACCAACCATTAATGATGTTGTACTTGGTCATTTTATTTCTACATACATCCATAGTTATTTGGTTAGCATTTTAGAAGCACTCAAATTGATTAGGTGCATTTCAACAAGATCAATTGTATAACAAACCTACTTCCTATATATGTGTTCAACACACCTTATTGGTTGAAAGCAGGCAACATGGGTCGTTTGACAAAAATCGAACCATGCAAAACAATCAGAATCTTAAAAATTCATGATACACACTACATGTATTCTAGCAAGAATTCATTTTAAACTGCACTTACTTACTTCTGGTTAGCGTTCTTTTGGCAAGTTAGATTTCGACGGAATGGGGTCGCCAACCCCATGGCCAACCCTCCTCCTTTACTCGGGCTTGGGACCGGCAGTAGCCCCGAAGGTTCTACTGGCGGAGTTAAACTGCACTTAACTGAGGGTATCTTTGGAATATTTGTCCCACCAGTTTATCATACAATTAATTAATCTAGAATCCGGGAGTTGATTGTTAGAATCAACGTTCTTCCTTATATGTAACGCTTTTTCGTCTAAATTTGTGAAGGATGTGTGATACTCGACCCATTTATTGATTCTATTCAAGTTTATTTATTTATTTATTCGCATTTTCTACGTCCCTTTGTTTATATGCCCTGTAACGCTTTCGACAATCGAACGATTTCTCAATTGGAAGTATGTAGTGCTTGTCTCCAAATTCACGCCTTCATTACCTAGTATTAACTAGCTTTATTGAAATTAAGCAAGAACTCCAACCCGCTTACGAAGAAAGATATTTTCTCTTTTCAAATCCAAAAGTAGATAAATTTTTCATCTTTAACTTTGAGATACATTAGAATAGAATTCCGATGAAGTTAGTCAGTCAGTTGAGAAGAAGAACTTGGTATGTATGTATGTATGTCAGTTCAAGCTGTTATACCTCATTAGCACATAGAGCTGAAATTGTTTAACCAAATCCTGGAGAATTGGTCGTAGTAAAATTATTAGTGGTAATAATAAAGATCAGGGATTGAAAACATAAATTAGTGAAAAACGGAAGGAAATCACGATAAATTCTGAACCCTGAAATTTGGGATAGGACGAAGAGTGGATGCATCTATGCCATTGCAAACGGTGTCGAGCCATGTTCATTGAGGGTCTCTAACCACTGGTTATGATTACCAAGCAGACCCCAACCTGGTAGTATGCACCTATTGATATGTCTGAGTCTAATTGTCAATGGCTTTATGGACTGTTCCCATGTTTTAGTTTGACGACCCTTAGCCATCTTCTAGTGTACTCCTACACCAGACAATATTGCTTGCTCATCGAGGTAGGCGATGGTTGGTCATATGTAATGCATTTTCTAGTCACTTCAGCTGAAGAAGGCTCATTACTTCTTCCAGACCATAGCTGCTACCTTGACACGGTAGTCGGACTTGCCTATCGTGATGAACCAACCAAGCCAAATTGGCTGGAACACATTTTCTTAGGTCCTAGCATGCCAGGCAAGTCGATTGGAGAACGCGACACATAGGACAAATAATGGTGACTGTCTTCTGCTCAGATAACCGCCTACTTCTAACAAAAACTAACTTTAGGCATGAGGATAAACATCTTTTCGCATGGAGGCCCCCAAAATCGCCTCGATGCTGGACCCAGCTAGACCACATTTCAATCAGCCACCGATGGGGCGGCTTGATGGAATAAGACTGTCGCTCGTTTTAGAGCATATGTTTAGATTCCGATCATACTCTAACACAAGCACGTATTTGTCCACGGCTTACTGGACGTAAGAAAGACACAGTAAGGAAACCGCTTGGAGTTCTATTTAATAATAGCGAAACCAAGAGTACATTTCAGGGGCAACTAGATAAATAGAAAAAAGTCTAAGTGATGCCCACCCACAGGCAGCTTCGAATGAAATCCAAAATGCTGTGGAAACATCAGTCTCAATCCAGGCGATTAGATCGCTGGGTATAACACTTTAGGGGTCAATTCAACTGGCCTCCAGCCACGCCTCGGTTACCCACCAACACCAGTCAACCTTAATGGCTAGTTGATGTAAGTCCTCCGACTGTGAATGAGCTTGCAAAAGCTATAGGCACTCTAGAGAGATAGAAAGCAGCTGGCCATGATAGATTAACTGCTGAGATTTTTGAGGATGGTGACCAAGTTTGAGCAGTTAGATTGACTGAGATCTTACGTAGAATATGGGAAGCGGACGTGATCCCATCTAAGATATTAGCTTCAATAATACTTCGACGCCTAACTAGAGCTCATGAAGAGAAGACTCGAGAAAACCAAGATGGTTTCAGATCTGCACATATTTGTATAGACCAAATATTCACAATTCTTCAGGCCCTAGGACACACATACACATTCAGACACCCGACAATAGTTGTAATTCTCGACCTTAAGGTGTCGTTTGACTCTGTCAACCGTGAGGTTCTATGGCAGCGTATTTCATTGAAAGGAATGCCAGAGAAATACATTAACCTTATACAGGCACTCTACTTTAACACTACTATTAGAGTGAGAGCTTCTGGTGAACTGTCATCGGAATTGTTTACTTCAAGTGGTGTTTGCCAAGGCTGTTCACTCTCTCTATTTATGTTTAACTTCGTCATTGACGTGCTTTCAGAGATGAAGCTTTCATAGTCTGACTTTTCCGGAGTTGACTTTCAATCATGAGATTCGCTTGTTGATTTAGGATATGTAGATGATATAGTTCTATTTGGTGAAGATGCTGACAAAATGTAGAGTCTTCTGACCATCTTAAGCGACAATGCACGCATGTTCAAAATGCGATTCTCGACATCGAAATGCAAAATGTTGCTTCAGAATTGGGCTACATCAGCACCTGAACTAGTTATAGAGAGTCAGGTGGTTCAGCGTGTTGACCACTTCACTTATCTTTGGAGTCTCATCAGTGCTGATGGCTTGGTATGTGACAAAATCTCAGCACGGATACAAAAGGCTCGACTAACTTATGCAAACTTGCGTCACGTATGGAGTAGGCGAAGGAAGAGTTTACCGCGCATCAGTTAGCTGCATCCTACTTTATGAGTGTAAAACATGACCAGTAAGAGTAGAGGATATTCATAGGTTACTAGTATTCGATCATATTTGTCTTAGAACCATAGCTCGTATATCCTGGACCACAGAGTAAGCAATGCTGTTGTTAGGAAACGGGTATTAGGTAAGGATGGCATATCAATAGATGATGCAGTGAATTCTCACCAGTTGAGGTGGTTGGGACATGTGCTAGGTATTCCCAACCACCGACTGCTTCAACGAGCAACGTTGTTTGATGTAGGGGTAAGCTGGAAGAAAGCTAAGTGCAGCCAAACATAAACATGGCACAAATCCACGAAGTCACTGACAACTGGACTGAGCCATCTTAGTAGGTGTACAATACCACGCTGCGGTCCGCGAGACAACAGTAACCGATGGTTAGATACTTCGAATGACATGGCTCACAATCGTTTACAATAGCGCAGATGCATTCATTTTTCGTCTTCGATCAAATTCGAATCTTCCGAATTCCTCATCACCTTTATCTTTCCACTTTAAATTTATTTCATTGGATTATACTTTTTAATCTTTGTATAAATGTGTCGAGCCCACATGGCTTGTCGTAGCATTTGGACAAAACAACTAATCTATTCTTCTCCAGTCATTATTCACACATCTTTCAATCTTGTCGCTTATTCGCTCATAACCTTAGTTGTTTTTGTTTGGGTGCGTATATATATTGCTTATTTCGCTTATTACATGTATAGTTAATTTATTCCTGACCATAAACACTAATTCATGCTTGACCGAATTGAGTTGGCTCACTCGCCTTCTCCATTTGGCTTCGCTTTGTTTGTACACCTTTTATTCTCATGTCTAACTACATGAACGATTGTCTGAAATAAACTCATCAAAATTAATCCGTATTTGGCTTCTTATTACCGCTGTCGCACAAACGACGTTTACCTAAGCATGAAATTGAAGGAACGATTCATTTCATAGGTTATTCAGTCGTTCGTCCGAATCGGAGTCAGATCGCGAGCCACTAAAACTTCTCCAATCACATCTTCAATCCCTAATCTTTCCGATTACCGTTAATACTGCTTCTACCTCTATCACTATAGGATTTGAATCGACATTTCAATGTCTCTGTTCTAATATGATATGGCAGTTTGAACTGATATATGTACGTACCAAGTTTACGTTGTTGCTGACTGAATGAAACTACTCCATCAATCGACTGGCCAATTTTAATTAATGCCTTATCCTTAACCCTATCATATCTTATTCGATGTTTTGGATTTAAGAATTAATGCACTTTTTTTGTTGATAAGCTTGTTTTCTAAACTGGGAATGATTATTTCTTGTAAGCTTTTCGATAAGATATATTTATCTCGTATAATCATTTTTTATGAGTAATAGAATCCTGATAGTCCAATAAACTGTTATTACATGTTCCTCAAAAACGATACGAAATTATTTATTTATATGTTGAAAAGTGGAAAAATTAAAAATGACTTAGCTTAAAGGAACTGAACAACCTCATTGATTCATTTTCGGTTACGCGTAAACTCTAGTAAATTGAATTTGTATATGGTTATGCAGTTTACAGTACCAATATTCTCAGCCGAAGCAATCTATTCTCGTGGGTTTCCTCCATCCAGATAACATTTTGAAAAAAGGACAATGATAAAAATTAGGTTTTTTGTGATAGGTCCTTGAATAAACTTGACGTTCACCTAGATTTTAAAAAAAATTTTCCGGACAACATATAAATAGATTCTTTCTATTATCTGTTATTTAAATATCGAAATATTTATTTTAGTCTCTTCATCCTATTAAAAACTATACAATCACAGTGATTTGTGACCAAAATGTAACTAATTTACCGAAATTCTGATATGCTTGAATGGTAATTAAACATTGACAACAAGAAAACGAAATGATCTGAATCATCTGATTTCAAACCAGTAGTAGCTGCTCATGGCTCACATTGAATAACAACTTCTCAATAGTCGTCTCCTGGTTCTTACTCATTACTGACCTTTCATCAAAATATTTTGTTCGTTCTTTTTTGTAATATTAATTTTTTGAATAATTTGTTTGATTCCTATGATCCTTTTTCTTCCAAATACTCAATATTATTTTATAATTTTTGTGACATAATTATTATTTTGTTACATAACTACTCGATGAGTATTAACTGCAGAGCTATGATGAAAAATTAATTGAGAAGAAATTTCTTCACTCGATTTGTTCTTTTATGTTTATTAATTTAAAAAATCTGAAAGTGCAACACAGAACTATAATTAATTGGATCAAATGTAGTCAAATTTGCATACTAATTATCACGAAGTGTCGTCGAATTGCAAACAAAAACTTTAGCATATTTGTCCATTAATAAGTTAGCGAACTGATTAGTCCCGACCTTGAGACCCATGGAAAATCGAGAAAGTTCTACCTGCCTACAAACTTCTAGAATATTCAACAAAGGTGTAGTCCATGTGTATGTGTTTTGATCTATTTGATTGGACCATAAATTCTTGTGATAGACAAACACACGACATATAGGAAGATAAGAGCTATAAATTGTTATTTAGTTTACCAAATTGACACTGTTCTTTCTCTCAAGTGTGACTTGCATACGGTTGTTGGATAATGCTAAAAAATAACCATCAACAAAAGGCAGTAGATATACCGATAAACCGGGAGCCCAAAACGTTTGAACAACATAGACGTGAAATGCTCACTGGATTACAGCATAGACATAAAGCAAGAAAACGACCTAAGCTCACAAATACTTCACACATTGATACCTGGTCGGACGTAATAGATAATTGGGTTGATTCATCTTGGCGCAGTTGGGATGACGAGATGCACAGACTGAGGCGTGGAATGTTCGCACTTTTGGTAAGTTTTCGAACAAAAGAGTCATATTTAACCCAAATCTCATAATAATTAAAATTGTTGATGAGCTTAAACTTAAGCATTAATTTACATGGTTTCTCATCAAATTCATAGGAGTCAGCCATTAATAACTATTTAATTTGCAACGTCCAGACTTATAATTTAACGTAGGGGTGGGAAGTTAGAGTCTCACTAATCAGAAATTGTAGGCGATACAGTATGAAAAGATCTTATTCGACCATAATTTTTATTTTTTATTTTAGCCTCTTGATACTTTTGGTCTGAGATCATCTTATTCAGACCCATTTGACCTAATGAACCGAATGGAGGGTGAGATTGAGGAAATCCGAAATCGCATAGGCTTGAGTAAAGCATCAGGGATTGGAGCCCTAAATGATTTCCTGAAGGACGCTTATGAGGTCGGTGAAGACGGGAAGGTAAGTGATAAGTGCGGCATCTGAAACGACAATTAGTTTGTAATTTCTTGGTAATTGTAACCGGGTTTTTTTATTGTTTCGTCTGCATTAAATAGCTTTACTTCAAGGTACATTTTGACGCCAAGGGTTTTACTCCCGAAGACGTCAAGGTCGAGTCCACAGAAAATCGCTTGACCGTCCATGCGAAGAAGGTTTCAGAGTCTGGTTCATCGAAATCTTCCCGCGAATTTTGTCGGATGATTGAGCTCCCTCAAACAATCGAGAACAACCAACTGAAGTGTCGCCTGACAGAAGTACGTATTGATAATGATGTACTTATTTGTATACATATCAGTGCTTTAATTTATGATGCTGATAACCTTTACTGAACGAGGACCTACAGTGAAGATGGATAATTTTGAAATCATTTTCTCCCGGTTAGTTAGTGAGTAAATATGTTGTCTAAATCAAGAATCTGTCACTGGCACGTAATGAAGCCTGTATTATGCAATGATTGGGAATGGCTGTTTTATTTCCGCAAGGCTTGTTAACGATTCAGTCTATATCACGACTAACGACCATCACTTAAGGGTTTACTCGCTTATGAGAAGATCAGTTTACATCTGGGTCCTTTTTAAGGTCATAAGAACATATCAACAACTCCTCTTGTGGTGCGCGCTACTTATAAGTAGTATATGACGCGAGTGAAAACGTAATGTCTGGCAGCCGGAGAGGGGGGAAGATCAAGAAAGGAAGAGTGGGAACACAATGGAATTTGTATGAAACGCATGAATAGTGAAATGTCAGACAATGGATTGATGATTTGCAAATTAACCGTTTACGATATGGTTTTCCTATTTTACTGATTAACTCTGTAATTTGCGATAATAAGATTCGGTTGCCCTCACCTGTGTTCTCCTTCACTACACTCTTAGTTCTTACAATGTTTGTCTAATGGCCTTCCAAAATGACTGAGAAACTATGATCTAAGAAACACACTAATGAATTTTTCAAGAATAAGGGCAAAGAAGCCCACTGTTTAATGTATCAGTAATGGTATGATTTGATTTACTGTAAACAGAGGAAAAACGAACGAACTCTTGTTGAAATGTATTTCACTGTGATCCTGGTTGGCTCATTGCTATAGTGATGATCCACCCAAATACGTCTTGCTCCATGTACTAAACCAAACAATACACTAAGTGACAACATTTACTTTGTTTTCTGTAGGATGGCGTCCTTATGTTGGAGGCTCCTGTGAAAGCTCCCGACTATGAGTCAATCACATTCACGGATGGTCGTAGACTTGGTATTCATCCAAAGTCAGCAGATCAGATCCAGTCAGTTCCAGCGTCAAATGCACTTATTGTGAAAGGTTGGTATATCGACCGACTAACGTTGGAAAGATTTTTGGTATGATTGTTAAAGTCTATTAGTTGCAGTCGCTCGTTTTATTAGCTGAAAACATAAAAATTTTTACTGATTCCGGACAATTATTTAAGTGTTTTTATTTTTACTTTATTGCAGGTGTATCTGGCCCAATAATTCTGGAAGATGAAGCAAACAGAAAGCGTCTGCATTTAGAAGTACCGGTGGACCCGGTGTATAAGCCTGAAGATTTATGCGTAAACGTAGATTCTAACCGTGTTGTTGTGTCAGGAATAAGTCATGAGAAAGACAGTGGTTATCTTAACAAGAAAAGTAGCAGTTCATATGCAGAGTTTACTCATTCGTATGAAATTCCAGAAACAGTGGATCCGTTATTAGTGACAGCGCAATTAATTGACAATAGGCTGGTTTTGGAGGCTCCTTTGGTGAAACGACACACAGTCAGTCATTAATCTATCATATAGAAATGTAATTACTCTGTGTATCGGTTGGTGAAATATTTTCTGTGTCGTTTTGAACGTATTACTTCCCTAGACTTGTGTGTATGGCTTTTCAGCACACATAAATGTGTAATATATACCTGGTAATAAATTTTATACACTCTAACTACGTGTGTTAGTTTTGCATGATATGGTGGGTTTTTTATGCTGTGGCTATAATCATCTTTTGAACGCACTAAAACTACTAACATCAATGAATTATGGTATGTCTGTTTGTTGTTGAGTTTCTCAAGAAGATAATGTTGTTGTCTTAATAGTGGTCAACGGATGTCATATTCGATCATTAATATCACAGCAATAACAAGTAGTCGTTAGATTTATAGTCAATCGTTTCGATGACAAATCAGGAGGGAAGTAATATCGCGTTATCAAGACACTTAACTGCTTAATTTCTTAAACTCTGTCCAATTCTACTATCCACAATCACACTTATATAGTCATGTCTCCCATGAGGAATAACAACAGTGTGAGATTTGTTTTTTCTCAGCTACACGGAAATATAATTTATTAGTTCTCACTGAAAGCCAATGTGCTGATGTACATTGAGGCAGAAATTATAAATTGTGATTACCGTTTATGACTATTAAATGCAGATGAACAAAAATTAACGAAATAATATTGTCGTCAAATGTGTACAGTCTTATCTTCTGTAATATTTAATTTTGAATAAACGAAGCAAAATTCTAATTGGCTATATTTATTGATTTTCTAGTAATCATTTAAATCACATACTACATTGTAATAAAAATTCATAGTTGTGATACTGACTTTAAATTTTCTACGCAATAGAAACCAGTTAAAATCAGTATAGCCAATCGAATGATGCGATATTTTGGTTTTTATCATCCATCAATACAAATCGATAGAATTATAGTTGTAGGTGGTTTTCGAGTGGAGGTTTTATGAATTTGATTTGGAAAAAATTAATTCTAAAAGTAATAGACGATTAGAAAACACAAATATGAAATAATAAAAGCTCTAGTGATAAATTATCAATAAAAAATATCTCAAAGACTAAGCAAAATATGTCAGTTCAATTAAGGTGGAAAAAAATTTAACATGGAAAAATCGATAGATGACTTAAGTACTTCTTTGCTCAGATAAAAACACTGAAAAAATTATTACAAAAGAATAAGCAAGCTTACTTACAATGGAAATTTACAAGTGAGATTAAATGTTCGAAAAAAGTGACATTTTCAAGGATTCAGTGATCAATTATTTTTTATCATTTTCGACTAACCAAATTCATCAACCAAAGACAACAGTTGTGTTGGAGACGTTATATCCCCAGACCTCACTTGATCAAGTTCTCAATTTCGGACTTTGTGGTTTTGTGCATGAGCTAATCAGTTGACCTTGAGATTACATTTCCCACGCGGAAAATCCTTGACTGTTATTGATTGATGTCAGTCAGTCAGTCAGTTGCAACGTAGAACTTCGTACGTATGTACATAAGTTCATGTTGCCATACCACATTATTAGCACAGAGACGCAAATGTCAAATCAAATCCCACGGTGATAAAGATGGTAGAGGTATTAATGTTATAATAAAGAAGACTAGGGTTTAAGATATTATTCAAAAAATATGATTCAGTGAAATAAGGTTAGAAAGATAAAGGTAGAGGTGCTGGCTAATCCAGAAGATTAGGATTTGAGAGAACACAGAGAATAAATGCACTGGCGCCAATGCGAACGATTTTGAGCCATGTCATTCAAGGTCTCTAACCATCGATTATTATCATCTCGCGGACCCCAACCAGGTAGTCGACAATTACCGACATGGCTAAGTCCACTTGTCAATGACTTCATGGATTTCTGCCATGTTTTGGTTTGGCCGCCCCTAACTTTCTTCCAACCTATTCCCACACTACAAAACAAGGCTCGACGAGGCAGCCGGTGGTTCGGCATACGCAACACATGTCCCAACCACCTCAACTGGTGAAGTTTCAATACTTCATCGATTGATCTGCCATTCTTACCTAGCACCCGATTCCTAATAACAGCGTTGCTCACTCGGGTGTCCCACGATATACGAGCAATACTTCGAAGACACCTATGATCGAAAACCAGTAACCTACGAATATCTTCTACTCTCACTGGCCATGTTTCACAGCCATAAAGTAAGACGGAGCGAACTACTGCGCAGTACACTCGTCCTTTAGTCAGCAAACGGATATCTCGCCTACGCCATAAGTGACGCAGGTTGGCAAAAGCCAATCGAGCCTTCTGTATCCGAGCTGAGATTTCGTCAGTCACCAGGCCATCGGCACTGATGAGACTCCCAAGATAAGTGAAGCGGTCTACACGTTCGACTACTTCACTCCCTATCACTAGTTCAGGTGCCGATGCAACCCAGTCTTGAAGCAACATTTTGCATTTCGAGGGGGAAAACCGCATCCCGAACATGCTTGCATTGTTGCTTATGGTAGTCAGAAGACTCTGCATTTTGTCAGCGTCTTCACCAAGTAGGACAATGTCATCGGCATATTCTAAGTCAATAAGCGAGCCACCTGGAAGAAGGTCTACTCCTGAAAATTCAGACGAGGATAATGTTAACTCTAGGAGCATGTCTATGATAAAATTAAACAAGAATGGAGAAAGTGGACATCCCTGACGGACACCACTTGATGTAGAGAATTCCTGTGACAGTTCGCCATATGCCCTCACCCGACCAGTGGTGTTCGAGTAAAGAGCTTGTATAAGGTTAATGTACTTCTGTGGTACACCTTTCAATGACAGACACTGCCACAGAACCTTACGATCAACAGAGTCAAATGCCGCCTTAAGGTCCAGGAAAACAACTATTGTAGGACGCCTAAATGTGTGTCTATGTTCCAGGACCTGTCTGAGTGTGAAGACGTGGTCTATACAGCCACGTCCAGGTCGAAAACCAGCCTGGTTTTCTCGAGTCTGCTCTTCACGAGCTTTCGTTAAGCGTCGAAGTATTATTGAGGCCAGTATTTTAGATACTATATTAGTTAGACTTATTCCCCTGTGATTGTCACAAGAAGACTTTTGTCCTTTCTTATAGATTGGGACAATCAAGGATTGAGACCAGTCGGATGGGATTACGTCCAGTTCCCAGATTTTACCTAAGATCTCAGTCAATCTAGCTGCCAAAACTGGACCACCATCCCTGAATATCTCAGGGGTCAGTCTATCAGGACCTGCAGCTCGTCCTCGTTTCAGATTTCCTAACGCTTTCTCAACGTCATTAAGACTAGGGGGACTTACGTCGATTTGCCATTCAGGATGACTGGAGATCGTGGGTAACTGAAGAGTGGCTCGTGGCCAGTTGAACTGATCCCTAAAGTGTTCTGCCCATCGATCCAGCCTCCTAGATTGAGAATGGATAATAAGACCATCCTTTTCCGAGATAGTCTCACTCAAATTCGGGTTCTTAATACCGGTTTCTTTGATAAGGCGGAAAAGTTGTCTAGTGTTGCCTATCGCCGCTGCCTTTTCCATCGCTTTTGCTTTCGCCACCCACCACTGTTCGCGGTCGTTACGCAGACTTTTTATAAGTCTGCGCCTAAGCTGACTACGCTCTTCATCATGCTCAGAGTCAGGTGGGATGCGTTTTCGAGCATCCATCAGTTCGGTGGATGCGACTGAAATCCACGGCTTCATCCTAGCCTCATGGTTTACCTTCCTAGCAGATATCACTGCTGTTTCCACAGCCTTTTTGATATCACACCAACCTGCTTCTGGATGGGAATCGCTTGCATGGTTGCTTAACTCTCTTTCTAGTTGCTCCTGAAATATTTTCTTGGTTTGATTATCATTAAGTAAAACCCTAAGAGGCTTTCTTACGGTGTCTTTCCTACGTCCAGTAAGCCTTAAACAGATACGAGCTCGCACTAGAGCATGATCTGAATCTAAACATGTGCTCCAGAACGAGCGACAGTCTTCTATCGAGCCCCTCCATCGGTGGCTGATGGCGATGTGATCTAGTTGAGTCCAACGTTGAGACGACTTTGGAGGTCGCCAGGTCAACAGATGCTTTTCCTTATGCCTAAAGTTGGTGTTCGCTAAGAATAGGCGGTTATCTGAGCACAGTTGCAACAGACGGTCACCATTGTCTGTTCTCTCAGTCGCTACACCATAACATCCACCAAGATGTCTTTCCGTTTCACCTAGCCTACCTACTTGAGCATTAAAGTCACCAGCCATTATTACTATGTCAGAGCGCTTAGCTTTTTGGAGGAGGTCCGAAAGCTTTCTGTAAAACTCATCTTTAACCTCGTCTGCACTGCAGTCAGTGGGGGCATAGGCAGATATGACGAAGAGGCAACGGCGAGTGTCCCTATCCTTCCGAGTCCTTACTGTTCCGTTTAGTCGGACAGCGCACAAACGACTATCTATTGGGATCCAGTCTAGGAGAGATAATTCTGCCCTAGGACTCAACGCTATGCCTACACCAGCAAGACCCCTGGAAGCAGCATCAGGGCTACCGGATACACGAAGAGTAAATCGAGCTGCTTCTTCGTTTTGACAAGGTGGAATCAGGTTAATGACTTTACTAGGATCCTGTATGCGCGTTTCCGAGACGCAGCATACATCGATGGCACGAGTTTCTAAAGTCCTAGCTAATGATGTCTGTTGCCCTATTTGACACAATGTCCGTACATTAAAAGCTCCAATATGTAGTCTAGAACGGGGTTTCAAGAGACCAGGAATGACGTTTCGTGATCTCGCTTCGTCTGCATTAGCGGTGCAGTGAGAAAAGGGAGTGTGAGTAGAGTTAGTCGTAGAGATAAAAGAGACATTAGGGGGTGTAGGAAGGATTTGATTTTGACCAATTTGGTCTCGCGTGCTGGAACAGGTATGAGGGCGGTAGTCACTTCCCGGCTGCCCACACCGTGGAAGGTTGTTTCTTGAGGGACCTGAAAAGGAAGATGGATTAGTGTTGGTGCGTGACCGCAGAGCCCAAGGGACAACTGCTTGAGGCCGGTCACGCACGGCCTTTTTATGAAAGGTATTTTGAGAATTAGCTCCGTTCTTAAAGGCCCTTAGTGGGCACCCTTACCCAAGGAGACGGAAATCCGTGAGGTAGGGTAGGTGTGACATTTTTAGGGCCGACCTTTTCTAACCCTTCCTTCCTTG